GTGTACGCGACCGCGACCGCCGCGGCGGCGGCCGCCGCGGCGGGCATGCCGCCGTTTGCGCCACCGCGCGTCGCGGTGCCGCCGCCGGCGCCGCAGCCGCCGCCGGGCGCAATCCCGGGCAGCCCCGCGCCTGCGCTGGTCAACCCCTGCAGCAGCCGCGGCCCCAAGGGGCCGCCGCCGGAGGTGTCGGTGTGGCACAGCCGAGAGCGGGGGTACTGGATGGTCGAGGTGCGGTGCAAGGACCGCAACAAGCTGTGCTTCGACACTGTGTGCACCTTGGCAGACCTGAGGTGAGGAGGGAGGTTGGGGCCTTGGGGCGGGACGACGCCAGGAGGGAAGGCGAAGGGTAGGGGGGAGGGGCCAACTCGCGGCTGAGCGCGCGGAGCAATGCAGAACTGCAGCCGGGCCTGGAGGCCTTGGAACTGCCGGGGGGCGCGGCCAGCATTCATTTTTGTCCCAAGCGCTCGCATCAAGTCAAAGCAAGCCTTGATCATTTTTGATTTTCACCCGCTCTGCCCCGCCTGCACGCCCCACTCCTCTGCACTTGGCAGACTCCCACATGCGCCCTTCCCTGCAACACCCCCACCCATCCCACCCCCCCCCCACACACACAGGCACACTCACCACACACTCACCACACACACACACACACACACACACCAAAACACACATGCCCGCCCACGCAAGGCTGGACGTGTACCACGCCACAATGGACAGCGAGAACGGCGTCGGCAGCCAGCTCTTCTACTGCAGGTGACGCGCGATGACGTCACCCACGCGCGGCCCGTCGGCGTCCCCCCGTTTGCTTCATGCGGGCTGCATCACTTCCGCCGGCTCGCCACTCACCTCCCTCCCGCACCACGCGTCCCAGCTCTGAGCCTCATGCCATCGCCCGCATTCCCTCCATCCCGCCCTACCCAAAATGCCCGCCCCGCAAGCTTCCGACACGCCCGACCAGCACGCCCTCGCGGGCCCATGGAGCAACGCCCCGCATCGGAAGCACCCCGCCCTCCCCCAACCCGATTTGACTCTGGCCTCCCCCTCGCAGGCCCCGCTTCGGCCCGCCTGACGCCTGGGACCATGATAGGGCAGAGTCCCTGCGCGCGCTGCTGTCGTCCGCGGTGCAGCGCTGCTTCCCCCTGGGCCTGAAGCTGCTGGTTTACGACGGCCCCGAGCCGCCCGCGCCGCGGCCCGGCGGGCAGCTCGCTGACCTGGCGGCGGCGCTGAGGGACTGGGGGCTCTCGATAACGAGGTGGGGTGGGATTGAGTGGGGGGGCGGTGCGTGAGAGCATGCACGTGCCCTGCATGGTCGTAGTGACGTGAGCGGCGGGTGAGACGCGTGCTGCATGCGTGCGTCGTTCGCCATACGATGCTTTGTGTGCGTGTGTGCGTGCATGTTTACGAACATGCGTCTGCGTGTAGGTGCGTGCGTGCTTCTGTGCCTGCCCGTGGGTGGCGAGCACAAGGACGGGCCCACCTGGTGCATGGCAGTCCTGTCTGGTACTCAAACAGCTCGGCTGGTCCGCATCAAGCACGAGTCGCTGCCAACACATCGATTATGACTGTGACCCAAAACCGTCCGCTGCGACAGGTGCAAGGTCCGCGAGAGCTCCTCCGCCGGCGGCGCCCCGGGCGAGGGCCCCTCGACGCACACCTTTTACCTGCTGGCAGGCGACGGCCAGCTGCCCTCCAGGGACGTGGTGCGGCGCGCCTGCGAGGCGGCGGGCGGGGAGTTGCTTGAGGAGCACTTTGCCCTCTCCTCCCTCGCGGCGGCGGCCGCGGCCGCGGCCGCGGGGGCGGGGCCGGGGGCCGCGCAGCAGGCGGCGGACGGCGGCGGCGCGGACGAGATAGGGATCGGGCGGCGGCTGAGGCGCGGGAAGTTTGGGTTTGCGTTCGAGCCGGTCGGGGGCGGCGGCGGGGGTGGGGCCGCGCCGGGGACGCCGGGAGGGCGGCGAGGCGCGGGCCCGAGGGCGGCGCCGGGGCCGGGGGGCGCCTGGGCGCCTGAGGGGGCAGGGTTTGAGGCGGGGGTGTCTTTTTGAGGCCAGCACTTCCATCCCAGGCAGGTGGCGAGCAAGTGACACAGGTAGAGCTACCTACCATCATGAATGCAAGCCATTTGCCAAGCAGCAGGCTTGCCCTTTTGGGCGGCGCACGCCGCAGCACGCACGCGGTGCAACGATCGGCCCAACGATCGGCCCGCTCCGCCATTTTTGACAGTAGGGTCGCAAGAGTAGGTCCGAGCAACGAGCGTTTGCACTCAGCCGCGCTTTCACTCAGCCGCGTTTCCCTTTTGGCAATCCAACTGTCACTGGTGCTGCAATCTCGTGCACTCGGAATGAACCCAACCAGCTGCCAAGCAGTTTCATCCTGTCATGCCCCTGATAAGGAACGGGTGTTGGCCAATCAAGGGTGTGTGTGTAACCAAGCGCAGGTCCAGCCATGCACGCCTCCTGTGAGGGCAGGCACCAACTTGCACTATAAATCGGTGATCCGGAGGCGGGCTGGGGGCAGACTTGACGAGGACAGCGCATTGTGCAAGCCCATGCAGCGCTTGCAAGGGGGACGGCAAACTAAAATTTGGGCATATGTGTGGAGAGGGGCCCCACTCCTAGGCCACAGCAAGGCAGCCCCCGCTCTGCGGTGCCACCCATCTCTGTGGCACCGTTGGTCAAAGGATGGGTCATGCCAAGTCCGGCTCGTTGCATGGCTGTCGTACGCCAATGGGCCAGCAGGTTTGCTTGATATAATTGTGACCGGATCTACTCCGAAATAGTGTACTCAAAAGGGATCCCCGGACAGTCAGCCGAGTCACCATCTCGACTTGATCTGCACCTCCCCACTCCCTATCGTACACGGCTGCGTACAACCTAGCCAGTATTGTCTTGATTTGATTGGGTTACATCTGTGCCCATAGCGCGCTCAAGACTGAACGCAGGTGTGTTCTTCAAGCGGAAAGTGGCAAAGGCCACCCTCGACGCAACACGTCATTGTACTCATCTACAGATAGCCTGAGAATTATTGATTGCGATTGACTTGTTGTATTTGCAGCGCCCGGTACAGATCATTCAGTGGTGGCTGCCCCGGTGGCAGGCCATTGCCTCGCCCTGCAGGTTTTTCTGACCAGGAGCGATGCAGTTGGGAGGCCTGCAGCGGCCGGGCAGCTGCAGGGGGCTTCGGCCAGCACAGCAGACGCGGCCGCTGCGGCCGCTGCAGCCTCCTGCTGCTGCTGTTGCGCGGCGGCCCGTGCAGATCGCGGCCAAGTTTGGAGGCGGGGGCGGTGACGACGCAGCCAGGAAGGCGCTCGAGGTGGGTGCTATGGCCTGGGACGCCAGTAACATGCAATACGAGTACGTCCTGTCGTCTGGCGCAGCCTTGATTTGTTGAATGGAACAAGGCATACTGGTATGCGCCGCTCAAGAAATGGCGCCAGCACGGCGACACAGGGCTGCTCGCATGGTCCCTGCACATCAGCTTTTCAAGCGGAGTTGGCAGCAGCGCGGCGCTGCTGGCGCACAGGTCGGCGCGCGTGGCGCCCATGTGCGCGCCGCGCCGACCCGCACCGCACCGCAGAGGCTCGGCGGCGGCGGCAAGGGCCCGGGCAAGGGCAAGGGCCCGGGGAAAGGCCCCGGCAAGGGCGCCGGCCCCGGCAAGGGTGCCGGGCCCGGCAAGCAGCAGCAGCAGCAGCGCCCTAGCGTCGGCGCCCCAAAGCCCGCGGCTGCGCCGCTCGGCGTCCCATCCGGGCTCCCCAAGGCCCGCGGCCCCAGCGGCTTCGGGGGCCTCAACCCCTTCGCCCAGCTCCAGTCCCTCTTCACCGGCGGCGGCGGCGGCGGCGCCGGCCGCGGCGGGCCCGGC